ATATATATATATATATATATATATATATATATATATATATATATATAAAAGAGAAAAACGGCTACATTATAAAGTGATGTTAAATACTAAAAACAGGAACATGTCTGTGTTGGTTTGTGACATAAACTTAGCAAATGTTTAAAGCCATTTAATCACTTTAATATCCACTTCAGCATATTGCTTTTATTGTTTTTATGCTATTAGTGCTTAGTGTATATTTAGTTGATGAGTTTTAGTTTATATCTTAGATCTTATTGCTGTTTTTCTTTTACATTTTATTGTGGGATGTAACTGGGAGGGTACATAATCTCGTTCCACCACATGTACCACATGTGGTGTGTAGGACAAAAAAACTCTTGACACTGACTTTAAAGCAAGGAATTAAAAAAAAACATGTTTTGTGTTAGCAGAATTTATTTCTAACTTTGAAACTTATTCAACATTAATAAAACTTACCTCAAACTGCCTTTTTGGACATGTAGGCATATATTTGTACAACTTGTATTTGCGAGGAGATTATTACAGCCTCATATAAAGTCAATAATGATGATATCGGAATAGCATCGGTATAGGCTGATATCCAAATTTTAATATCGGATCAGAAGTAAAAAAATAAAATAAAAAAGTGAATCGGTGCATCCCTAAATGTCATGGCAGTTGTTCCCAGGCCAGACGAGAGACATGGTGTTTCCAGCATGTTCTGGATCTGTCCCGGGAGACTGCTGAGACTCTCGTCCACACAGTGTGGCTCCTACATAAATGTCTTGCACCAAAAATATTAGGTTTACTATTGTTCTCTGTTCCATTCCAGTCCAGAAAAACATCTCAAAACCCACACACATGCACTATTCAAATCCCTCAGTGACGTGGAACATCACGTACTGCAGGTTTTCTGTTCTAAATAAACTTGATACTAAACACTCACCTCAACAAAACATTGATATTAACAAAAAATATTTAGCAGCAACTCATGTTTCTAACTCTAGTACTGTATTTGGAAGAGTAAACTGGGATTTCAGCTTTCTAAATGGTGTAAATTTAGTCTTAAAATGCTTCTCCATCACGTTTAAAATGTTGGAAAAATGAAATGATGCGAGATACGACTTGCTGCTTGTACGTGTGCTGGAGGAAGCCTTCATCATGTACTGCCTGATGATAAGTGTTTGTTGTTTTTTGTACATCTGCAGGCTGGTAAGCATGAGGCCATTGTGAAGAATGTTCATGACCTTTTGGCTAAATTGGCATGGGACTTCTCACCCGAGCAGCTTGATCATCTTTTTGACTGCTTCAAGGTTAGTTGTCTTTGTTATTTACAGAAAATAATTTCTTTTTTGTTGGTTAACCCTCCTGCTGCTCTTCAGTCAAACAGTTTAAACTGAGGCCTCAGGTGTCATTTTGACTCAGGACAGCAGGAGGATTAAACCAGTTTCATACATAACTACTGTACAATATTCTTCTGCACTCTCAATACAACTCTTCTGGTGTACAGGCAAGCTGGACCAACGCCAGCAAAAAGCAGCGTGAAAAACTACTTGAACTTATTCGGCGCTTGGCTGAAGATGACAAGGACGGTGTGATGGCCCACAAGGTCCTCAACCTGCTGTGGAACCTGGCCCACAGTGATGATGTACCTGTGGACATCATGGACCAAGCTCTTAGTGCTCACATTAAGATACTTGACTACAGTTGCTCACAGGTGCATGCAGGGAGCTTTTTGATAAATGTCTATAGACCTAAAAGATTTGAGCAGTATATGGTGGGGTTATTGCACTCTAAATACAAAAATGATATTTATTTTCCTTCACAGGACAGAGATACGCAGAAGATTCAGTGGATAGATCGCTTCATAGAAGAACTACGAACTAATGACAAATGGGTGATCCCTGCCTTAAAACAAATCAGGGAAATTTGTAGCCTCTTTGGAGAAGCTCCTCAAAACCTCAGGTAAGATTATTATTATTACATCGTCTCTGTTGCTATTTTAAATTTATCACACTCAAAAAAAGATCTGCAAGTATGAATTATTTTGTTTTTTCTTTTTCGTAATACGTTTTTAACAAATTCATCTTTTGTGTGCAAGATGCCTCAACACTGAGTAAAACAACGTTGACATTATTGACATTTTTATAATTTGCGAAGTTGTTGTACTCATCAGTTTTGCACTTATTGGTAAGAAGAGTAAATTGCTTCTCAGTTTCAAGGTTTGCAATTGATAAATAATACTGGATTGTTCAACAGCTAGTTTTATTGCTAACAAATGGTGCTGAGCAGATGTTACCTTTTCATCAAATGTCATTGTCAAATTTAATCTCTGCCTGATATCAGCTGTTTGGGCATGATCTTAAAAAAAGCCCATAAGTGCCCCTTTTGCACTGCCCCTAATAAGCCCCAATTCTGGGCAGCCCGCCACAGAAAGAACCCTTTTGCACCAGCACTTTAGCTAGTATATGTAGCTGATTTGAGGCTGATTCAGGACCTCTTTTCGTCCCTGCTTCTCTTGTGGGACCGAGCAAGCTCAGCTGAGCTGAGTCGGGACCGAAATGTGAATGCAGGACTCTGATTGGTCGAGGGAGGAGTCACTGGATCTCAGAAACTTTTCACTGAGCCGCCATTTGCAATTTCTCTGGATGCGGAGCAGCGGCTGGATCTATTTTTAAGATTTTAAAAACTATAATGACAACGCCGTGTTTAATTCTGACATCCAGGCATTTTTTTGTGTTTGGTGACCGACTAAAATTCAAGCGAGCGGTGTCACCACGGAGGATCATACGAGGTGCCGAGCCGTTAAAGCCCGTGAGTCCGAACCCCGAGCCCCAGCCTCGCCTGCTCACAAAGGCCGTATTCGAGCCCTGGCAGGCGGGAGGACCGGGATTGAGGGACGGGGGGTAAAAACTTTTTTTTTTTTACATTTTATGTATAACATATAAGTTGTTGTTTTTTTTATCAGTGAAGATTAAAAATAAATAAACTGTGACGGCTTTATCGTGAAATCATGTTTTCCCTTTGACTTTATTAAATAATCTGTTAATTAAAGTTAATTCAACTGAAAAATTATAAAAAGACAAGCTTATTGAATCTCTCATATTTCCCTCAAACATGTTTAAAGAAGATACACAGCCTTTGGTTCAACATTATTCTAACCCACAGATGTACAAATCACAAAACAAGTATTACACTTTAAATTAAAGTTTTAAATCAAAGCTAAACTTTAATTCAAAGCTAAAAATAATCTTTATACAAGAAAAAAATAATCTGTATACAAGAAAAAATAATCTGTATACAATAAACAAAATGACAATGAGTGCAAATACATGATGAAGAAAAATATTGAATTTTAAATATAGATATCCTGATGCATGCTCAATAATCCAGGTAGAAAAATCTAAAAAAAAGTTAAGTCTAGTCCTCTGGACATTCAAAAACAAACAAAAATGTAGAAACTTTCTTCTTTCATCCAAAATACTTCTTCAGTCTGAGGTGCTGTATTCAGCTCAGTTTTACATAAATAGCTATGAGCTGAATACAGCACCTCAGACTGAAGAAGTCTTTCGGATGAAAGACGAAACGTTTCTACATTTTTGTTTTTTTTGTTTTTGTTTTTTGAACGTCCAGAGGACCAGATTTAACTTTTTTAGATTTAAATATGAATGTTTTTGTAGAATCTGGTTCATCAGATTTAATTCAGTTCAGTTTATTTATACAACCAAGTCACAACAGAATTTGTCTCAGGGCACGGAACAGAAATATTCATATATAAAATAAGTTAACAGAAACATTTATATATAAAAATAATAATTTAATATTATTTATCTGAGGAGCTTTGAGTAACTCAACGCAGAACTCTCATTAGCAGGACTTGGATTCTGGACACGCCTCCAGATCGGTCCTAAAGTGCAGGTGCAAATCCAGGCTGAGCTGAGCCAGGTAGAGTAGGGGTGTGCAGGGCTGAGCAGAGTTGGGGCTTATTGGGGGCAGTGCAAAAGGGGCAAAGGTAATAAATATTGAAATCTTTTTTTTTTTTTTTTTTTCACAATGAATTGAAACATTTTAACTTTCCATAGTAATGAAAAACATTTTGTGTTAGAAAAACGTTTGTTGTCTAAATATTAAAGATAACCCTTACATTAAGCTCACATGAACACAGTGCAATGCAAACAAAAGGGTTTGGAGGATTTGGACCTTTTTAGTTTTATTTCCAACTTCTCTTCCTTTTCTGCTTTGTCAAACTTTTTGTTTTAAGTGTAATAATTCATACTTTGTCAGGAAATTTTAGTCAGTTAAAAAAATACAATTTACAAAATCAATCTGAAGTTTGACTTTGAGTTTATTTTCTATCTCATTCAAATTGTTTTGATATGAAGAACTTTTGTAGACGCTATAGAAGATATGTAGTATACATGCCTGTTGTTTTTCCAGAAAGAAAATTCCAATTAACATACACACGAACTTAGTGAGGTAAGTTAAGTGTTAATTTCAGGGTTCTACCTATTTCTTTGTCAAGTCTAACTTCCTCTTTAACATGTTCAGAAACTACATAAAATGTACACTTTTGCCACAAATCAGCTTAAGCAGTTCTTTCTTGGGTTACATCTCAAATGACTTTTCTTATTCTCACATGTGGTTTATATAGAATTCAATTCAGTTTATTTATATAGCGCCAAATCACAACAAAGTTGTCTCAGGGCACTTTACAGAAACATTCACATATATAAAAGCCAATTAGTAAAGTTCTCTATCCAAGGAATCCAGCAGACAAGTTGAATCTTGGCTTTGTTGCAGTCTCCCATCCTGAGCAAGCAATTGACAATATTCACATAATAAATTAACATTTAGCTACAAACGTGAAGTGAAGTCTAAAGAAAAGTATCTATTACATGTATGGCAAAAAAAATACTAGACTTATCTTTGAATTTAAGCACTATGTGTTGCATCTCAACTGGGCTTTAAGACGCAGTTTATGCTCCGCCCCAATCAACCCATTAAAAGCAGGGCCACATAATTGGAGCTGGTTTCAGAACAACTTGCTTTACAAAATCCAGTAAAGCAGCCCCTTCCTGCAACGCTGTTCAGAGGTCTGGATGTGTTATCATCCATCCATCTATTATCTTTTACCTGCTTCTTTTGAAGTCGTGGGGGTCGCCGGTGTCCATGTCCAGCTGTTATTGTGTGAGAGATGGTGACACACTGGACAGCCCATCACAGGGACACATGGAGACAAACGAGACAAACAACAATTCACTCTCTCTCACACCTAGAGACAATTTAGAGTTACCAATCAGCCTAACATGCATGTTTTTGGTCTGTGGGAGGAAACTGGAGTACCAGGAGAAAACCCACACATGCAAAGAGAGAACATTTCAAACTCCGCCCAGAAAGGCCCCCGGACTGGGATTTGAACTAGGGTAACCTGCTCGCTGAGAGGCAGCAGCTCTACCAACTATTATTTTTTTTATTAAGGGTTTAAAATATTCACAAATACAGTAGTCCCTCACTTATCACTTATCTCAGGTCTCTCTTGTAAATGAGTCCTCGAGGCTCAATGGGATTTACCTGTATAAATAAAGGTTGATTGATTGATCACAGGGGTTACGTTCCAGACACCCCTGCGATAAGTGAAAATCTGCAAAGTAGGAACATTATATTTATTTTAGTATTTATATACAGTATATGTACTAAGGCTTTATAAACACTTTCTACACTTTCAATGTTCTTAACAATGTTCTAAACTCTTAAACCTACATAATTTTAACAACATGCGTATATGTAGTGTACAGTACTGCAAAATTTTATATGGCTACTCATTTGTGAAGATACAACTTGAAGGATGAGTTCTGCTTCAGGATTATTTGAGACTTTCCTGCAAGTTTAATAGAAGGATTGTTACTTCTGACGTGTGGTAAAAATAGTTTTACAACACATCAGTTTCTCTGCTAGTGCTCCCTCCATTGCTGTTCTTTAAATTTCAGTAGAACGCAGCGGCCAGAAGTACTGTTGGCTTCTGGGTAGTGTAGTTCTTTTGACTTGTGTTACGGTGTAGGCTTATTGAAAGAAAACTACAAAATGGCAGTGCCTGTCCAAAGTGTTTTTTTAATTTAATTTTATTTTATTATTTTTTTGTCTTATTGGTTGGTTCCCGCTCCCGTTAACTTTTTATCCCATACCGTCCCAATCACGTGAGTAATATAAAAGTTGGCAATCGTGAATCGTGTACAATCTTAAAGGTGAAAACCTGCGAAACAGTGAGTCTGCAAAAGTCGAACAGCAAAGTATCAAGGCACTAATGTATAAATCAACTTTATCCAATTCAATTTAATTCAGTTAATTTCTAAAGCACCAAGTCACAGCAGAAGTTGTCCCAGGGCACAGTTCATACCTTTGTTTCTCTGGACGGTAAAAGCAAAGGTTTACATATTATAGTTTCATATTTCACAGCTCCTGTGATTTTTAAATACAATCAAAATGTGAATGCATTATTCACTCAACACCTCAAAATATGTCAAGCGAAACTTATTTTACATAGTTGAAGATTATGTGCAGTTTCTCAGTTTTCAGACTCACATTTTACAAAGCATTACAGTGGAAATGAGACATAAAATATGCAGGTTTTTTTTTTTTTTTGGAAGTTATTGTTTTACCCTTAAATGTATTGCACTAACAGAAATATGTTTAATGTACACAGTCCCACACGTTATGAAAAGTCCTTTAAGATGGAGCACCAGTTTCTTTTGCCTCAAATCGTTCAGTGCAAGATATCAAAGGGATTTCATGCCTTGGACCCACTCATGCTTTAGATTATTAATTTAGTATTTCTGATTCCTAAGATATAGATAGATATAATTTTTTGGGGGTTTTGCAATTGTTTATATTTGTCAACAACAACATGCTTTACAGTCTAAAAAAGTTAAATCTGGTCTTCTGGACATTAAAAAAACAAAGCAAAACAAAAAAAAATTGTAGAAACGTTTCATCTTTCATCCGAAAGACTTCCTCAGTCTGAGGAGCTGCATTCAGCTCTGTCTTATAAATAGCACCTTCTCAGAGTGGATCAACCAGTTTTGCTGCTGACAATCAAAATCAGCTGCTCACGTGTAGGGGAACACCACCTCAGAAAAAGAACACCTCATCTCAGAAAACACTTCACCTCAGCTTAAACAGAAAAAGAGTTCACATCATCTCAAAACAAACATCATTCATGTGTTTTGTGTTTGAAACTGTTAAAATAAGATGCATCTACCCCCTTTAAGAACAAACAGACTTTATTTTACAAGTGTTAAACTCAGCTTACAAACTCCTTTGTTGACACTAATCCGATGTAATAAAAACTGTCACTGTGTCAACTTCACTGCGAATATGAACTCATTCCCCACGAAACGGACAGATCGTGTTAATGAGAGCTTGTGGTTCAACGACCTTGAAGTGAAACACCTGCCGAGACTTCAATTTTTATCAACAAAAAAGGGAGTAGTACTCCCAGGATGGTTTCTCATGCAGATAAGACCATGAGAACCCCTTTAGTTTTAAATGACGTTCTCTTTCAGGAGATGAACAGCGACACCTTTTTGATTAACATTGCATGTTATTTCAGGGGCTTCAGAACTGAATATTTGTTTATGAAAATGTCTGTTTAAGCAACCTCTCTTTAAAATAATCGTGTTATTTTTCTCCTTTTAAAAGAAGTGTGACTTTAAAGGCAGACAGAGAAAATGGACTGTTATTTTATAAAACATGACATAGAGTTATGAACCATCCCTCTTCCGAGGGGTGGATCCAAAGTCAGTCTGTAACAGACAGACAGTTAAGTCTCCCTACACTTCTACTACACTTTTACTCCACTTCACTGTGCCTTCTACATCAACGCACTTCAACTGCTTCAAGCAAACTTCCTCCTAGAGAGATATCCTGGGAAGGAAGAAGGAAAAACATCTTTTCTGCAAACGTCTCAGGACGAGAGGATCTGACGAACCTGGACAGAACCTGGCATTAACCTGAGATTTGTTACCAGAGCCATCATACAGCAGAGTGGTAAATCCCAGCTGACTCCCATATGGACCCTCGTCCCTCCAAGATGATAGGTGAACTGTGAGGAAGACAGCCTCTCAGTCACCAGACATCTGGACTGGTACCATTTTAAGCAGCTGTAGGACCATTCTGACCATCTCATTCTGGTGAGAGAGACCCTTCAATGCATTTTCTGGTGATCATACATTCACAATAATATTAATTTAGATACACCACAGTTAATTTAGACACAATTTTAACTACACCACAGACAAACCACTCAAAAATTCTGCCTTTTATAAAAAGTTACACTGAATTTAATAATCAAGTAACCTTTGATACAAAGCTATTTTGTTATTAATTTGTGTATTCGTTTTTATGCATAATCTTAATCAGATATATCACAGATTATTATTTTTGTAATAAAATACATAAAATTCACTAAACTTGTGATTATTTTGGCATATCTGTGTGTATTAACTGATTTTGAATGCCCTTTAAACACGAGAAAAGAATTCACGTTTCAGTTTACATTTAATTTGGGGGTTAGAGACTGATTTTTCCTCTGAAAATAGGTGGTGCCCACACAACGAGGTTATTTGCATAATAAATGCATATCTTATGAGCTTAACTCATAACTGATAATTTACAATTTATATATCCAACCACAAATCCCTCTACACATGATTAAGAAGGACCATCGGCCTAACAATGGATCATTAGTACACTGATGGCTGTTTACTATTCACAGAGGGCTGAGTGATACTAGCAATAACAGCATTGTAAGAGGGGGACAATTGAACACCTAGGCCTCCATCCCTGTTTAATGATGGATGATTTCTTTTCACAAAGATGGCCTACTTTACTCCTCTCAAACCATCGTTCCTCTATCCAGAATGTGAACATCTTCATCCCTGAAAGAGTGACCGCTGGCCTGGAGATAAGTGTAGAACGCAGAATCCTGGCCTGATGATGTTGATCTTCTGTGCTGGGCCATCCTTTTGGCCAGTGGCTGTTTAGTTTCCCCAATGTAAGACTGATCACAGCCCTCCTGACACTGAACAGCATACACAACATTACTCTGTTTGTGCCGGGGGACTGGATCTTTGGGATGAACCAGTCTTTGCCGTAATGTATTTTGGGGTTTTAAAGCCACTGGGACATTGTGTTTAGAAAACAAACGTCTCAGTTTCTCTGATACTCCCTCAACATATGGAATGACCACTGGTCTGGGTCTGGGTTCCTCCTTTTCACCTGATGGCTGACTGGAGTCCTGTTTGGGTTTCTTCTCTGCTTTCAGGAAGGCCCAGTTAGGATATCCACATTGCTCTAGAGCCTGTTTTGTGTGGGATTTCTCCTTCTGCCTGGCTCCTGAGCTAGTGGGGATGCTGTCAGCTCTGTGGTACAAAGTCCTGATGACTCCTAACTTGTGCTCCAAAGGGTGATGGGAGTCAAACTGCAAATACTGGTCTGTGTGTGTGGGTTTGCGGTACACCTCAGTTTGCAAAAGTCCTCTATCAGAGACTGAGACCTCACAGTCCAAGAAAGCCAACTTGCCATTTTATACATCTTCTCGTGTGAACTTGATGTATTTATCCACAGAGTTGATGTGGTCAGTAAAATGTTGGACTTCCTGAGATTTAATTTTAACCCAGGTGTCGTCAACATACCTGAACCAATGACTTGGTGGTGTCCCTGAAAAGGACGTCAAGGCTCTCTTTTCTACCTCCTCCATGTACAGGTTGGCAACAATAGGAGAAACTGGAGACCCCATAGCACACCCATGTTTCTGCCTATAATATTGCTCCCCATATGTGAAGTAGGTTGACCGCAGGCAGTTTCAAGAGTTGACACAATTGTTCTGTGGAAAGCGTGGTCCTGCTGCTCAGAGTGGTGTCTGATTTTAATCTTAAACTGACCAACTCTACTGCATCATCAACAGGAATGCATGTAAAGAGGGATGTGACATCAAAAGAGATAATTGTTTCATCAGTCTCCATGATGACATCCCTCACCTTATCCACAAAGTCCATGGTGTTCTGTATGTGGTGTTCTGAGCTGCCAACTAAAGGGATGAGTACAGATGCCAGATATTTGGAAACATTGTAAGTGATAGTGTTAATCATGCTAACAATTGGTCTTAACGGTACACCTTGTTTGTGAATTTTAGGTAAACCATACAGACTAGGTGTGGCCTCCCCTGGGTAGAGTCTGTGGTACAGAAAACAGTCAATAGCCTTGTCCTGCTCCAAAATTTTCAGGCAATCTATCAACTTTTTCTTGTAACCACTTCCTGGATCTCTTTTCAGAGGTTCATAAGTGTTTAAGTCACTAAGGAGTGTCATAGCTTTCTCATGATAGTCTTTCTGGTTCAAAATCACTGTACACCTTCCTTTGTCTGCTGGGAGAATGATGATGTTTTTGTCCTTGCTAAGAGTGGTGAGTGCATCCCTCTCCTCTCTACTGATGTTGGAAGGTGGTGGTTTGGCTTTGCTGAGGCAGGCTGAAACTTTGATTCTGAGTTGTTCTGCTTTGACCTCTTTAATTTTGTTGTTGCGGATGGCTGATTCTGTGGCTGTGATCATCTCCACCAGAGGAATTGTACTTGGTGCACCCGCAAAGTTCAGTCCCCTGGCAAGAATCTCTGTCTCCGGCTGGGTGAGCTGTCTGTCAGATAAATTCTTCACCCACTTTTCGGTCTCCCTGACATGTAATTGACTACTGGAGTGTTGTCCTACACTGAATGTGTTGTTAAAACAGCCACTAGCCAAAAGGTTGGCCCAGCACAGAAGAGCAACAACATAAGGCCAGGACTCTGCGGTCTACACTCATCCCCAGGCCAGCGGTCACTCTTTCAGGGATGAAGATGTTCACATCCTGGATAGAGAGGAACGATGGTTTGAGAGAGGAGTAAAGGAGGCCATCTTTGTGAAAAGAAATCGGCCATCATTAAACAGGGATGGAGGCCTACGTGTTCAATTGTCCCCCTCTTACAATGCTGTCATTGCTCAGCCCTCTGTGAATAGTAAACAGCCATCAGTGTGCTAATGATCCTTGTTAGGCTGATGGTCCTTCTTAATCATGTGAGCAGCTGGTTTTGATTGTCAGCAGAAAAACTGGTTGATCCACTCTGATAAGACGGAGCTGAATACAGCTCCTCAGACTGAGGAAGTCTTTCGGTTGAAAGACGAAACGGTTCTACATTTTTTTGTTGTTTTGCTTTGTTTTTTGTTCTTTTTTTTTTTAATGTCCAGAGGACCAGATTGAACTTTTTTTAGATTTTTCCACCTGGATTATTTAGCATGCATCAGGATGCTTTACAGTGTTTCCCCTAGATAACTTGCCATCGCGGGGCGCTCATCTCGTCCGTGATTTTTGTCCCGGGGGTGGTGGGGGGGGGGGGGGGTGAGGGGGTGGTTCGGTAGACGGGTGCTCGGTTCTGTTGATGGGGCGGGGCGCCCCGCTTGTATAATGGTAGGGGAAACACTGCTTTAACAATCAAGTTGCATTATTCTTTTGAAGAACTTGTTTTTTAGTTTGAAATTATTTTGAATATGTTGCTGATTTGTGATGTGATTGTTTGCACGGTGGTGGCTCTGAAAATCACCTAAATTAAGGCTCATTTTGTCTCGCGTTTGGTTTTAAGTCAAAATATTCTTGTGGAAACAAGGCAGGAAATAACCCCCATTGATACAACTTTCTGCTGTTTATCTTTACCTTACACACACACACACACACACAGCTGCTTTCTTTATTTTCCTTACAGTAAGAAATGAAATCAGTGATGCAATGTTATATGTATCAGGTGTTAATAAATTTGTAAATTCGTTTTTTTTTTTCTCTCTTTCTGGCCTTCTCACCAATTATGATTTTTTTTTTTTTTTTTTTTTTTTTCCTTTCATCCACCATTCCTCCTCCTCCTCACCCTGTTTTGTCTTTAGTCAAACCACGAGAAGTCCTCATGTATTTTACCGCCATGACCTGATCAACCAGTTGCAGCATAACCATGCTTTGGTCACACTGGTGGCAGAGAATCTCTCAGCCTACATGGAGACCATGAGGCAATTATCCAAAGGTAGTCTTGTTTTTATTTTCACCGAGAATCAGATGAGAGGTGTGTGTTGTCCAGAGTCCAACATTGATTTTTATGTGCTTTTCCAGAAGAACAAGCAGAATTTGATCCACAGATCGTCCGACCAGGAAGCCGCTACAGTCATGTCCAGGAAGTACAGGAACGACTCAACTTTCTGAGGTCTGTCACTTCAACTGTCCTGCCATCAAATGAGAGCACACAGGACTTTAAAAAGATGAAAAACTTTATTATAGATCAGCTGTTGTACAGTGTATTGCTTTCACATGATTTCACTTACAACCCCTTGGTCATTCAAAGACGCTTGTTTTGACCAAACATTAGCTTTATTCTAACTTTCAGTTCATTAGTTTCCACTCTTGATTTTCTGTTTCGTTTTTAGGTTTCTGTTAAAAGATGGCCAGTTGTGGCTGTGTGCCCCTCAAGCAAAGCAGATCTGGAAGTGTCTGGCTGAAAATGCAGTGTTTCTGTGTGACCGTGAGGCCTGCTTCAAGTGGTACTGCTCCATTTCTCATCTGTTCTTACCTTTGGTTATTCTTACATTTGTCAGCCAACAAACATTTTCTTAATTTTTTGTGTATTTCCTTTTATCACATAGGTACTCAAAGCTGATGGGTGATGAGCCAGACCTAGATCCAGACATCAATAAGGACTTCTTTGAGAACAATGTTTTACAGTTGGACCCATCTCTGCTGACAGAAAATGGCATGAAGTGCTTTGAGAGGTTCTTTAAAGCAGTCAACTGCAGGGAAGGGAAGCTAGTAGCAAAACGCAGAGCCTACATGATGGATGACCTGGAATTAATCGGCTTGGACTATCTATGGAGGGTGAGGACAGCATTACACAGACAAATCTTTTTTTTATTTTCTATTTTTTATCAGATATTCTTGGTATATTAAATCAAATACTATAAGACTAATAATAAAATGGAAATTGTCCCTACAAAACAACTACTAAGATGGATAAATCTGTTTGACAGTATGCCTTTTAATTCTTGTCCAGGTTGTGATTCAAGGAAGTGATGACATTGCTAACCGAGCCATAGACCTACTAAAAGAGATCTACACCAACCTTGGACCAAAACTACAAGTCAACCAGGTACAGGGATCATTTCACTTGTTTGTTTCTTAATCAGTCTGTTAATCTGCATGATGGGTAATAATGGGTTGCCATATTCACTTGTTTCTACTCCCTTCAGGTTGAGATTCATGAAGATTTTATCCAGTCCTGTTTTGACCGTCTGAAGGCGTCCTATGACACTCTGTGTGTTCTGGACGGAGATAAAGACAGCATTAATTGTGCACGGCAGGAGGCCATCCGTATGGTCCGTGTGCTTACAGTACTCAAGGAGTACATAAATGAGTGTGATAGTGACTACCACGAGGAGAGGACTATACTTCCAATGTCGAGGTATATTTGGAGATAAATTGGTTTATTTCACTATTTTCTATTAATTGTGATTTTTCATAAGTAGAATATTGGTTGTGCCTTCATTGTCCATTTCAAATATTTGTCTTGCAGAGCTTTCCGGGGAAAGCACATCACACTGATTGTACGTTTTCCTAACCAAGGTCGTCAGGTGGACGATTTAGACATTTGGTCACACACCAATGACACTATTGGCTCAGTTCGACGTGGCATCCTGAACAGAATAAAAGCCAATGCTGCACATACAAAGATCGAGCTATTTATTGGTGGAGAGGTTGTGGATCCAGCTGATGACAGGAAGCTGATTGGACAGCTCAATTTGAAGGACAAAACGGTGTGTGTGTGTGTACTTGTTTTTTGTTACCTCTTTTGGACCTTTTCTGGTATAAGCACATAACTAGACAGGACCAGTAGTCCTTTTGAGGACCAAAGACCGGTCATAATATAGCAGAATACCATTTTTGAATTAGGGGTTTGATTTAGGATAAGGGTTAAGCTACAGAAATAACTTGGAATGGATGGAAGTCAATACACAGTCCCAATAAGGATATAAATACGTATGTCTTTGTATAAGTGTGTGTGCATTTTTGTTTCAGGTTACCTTGTAGGGACCAATTTTACAAAAAAAAACCATGCAATGTGGGAACCAACTGCTCTTTATGGGGACCAAAGCCAGGTCCCCATATGGATAAGTCTTGTTGGTGGGTTAGGGGCTAGGTTTAGGACTAAGGTGTGAATTGAGGATGTGTTAGGTTTAGGGTTAGGTATGTACTGGTAATGGTTAGGTTATGGATGAAGGTCATGGTTAGGCTATAGAAATGAATGAAAAATGAATGGAAGTCAATGCAAAGGCCCCATAAATATAGCAAAACAAACGTGTGTGTGTGTGTGTGTGGGCTCAAGGACACAGAATTATTCTTTCCATTGAATCAACATGAACTGAAATGTGTCATTTTGTTGTACAGCTGATCACGGCCAAGCTGACCCAGGTGAGTGCCAACATGCCCTCAAGTCCAGACAGCTCATCTGACTCATCCACTGGCTCCCCTGGTAACCATGGAAACCACTACAGCGATGGGCCTAACCCTGAAGTAGAGAGCTGCCTTCCTGGTGTGGTGAGTTTGTAACACTTATTGAGAGTGTAACCAGATGTTGTTTCTGTGGTTGATTTTAAGCCATCAGCTGATGTATAAATTCCACGTTTGCATTATAGAAAAATAAATGAATACCGGTAGTACTTTACATGAGTTGTGTAGTATTGTGTGCTGATCAGTATATGAACACAAGTACTGTAACACCTGTCTTGAATTCCAGATTATGTCGCTGCATCCGCGCTACATCTCCTTCCTGTGGCAGATCGCTGACTTGGGCTGCAGCCTCAACATGCCTCAGCTTAGAGATGGCGCTCGAGTTCTCATGAAACTTATGCCTCCAGGTTCATAAATATATATTTCTTTGTTCAAAAATAATATCCTTGCTGCTTGCTCCTTCTGTAACCCACACAGTTTTATCTCGGTGGCCATGTTTGTGTGTATGCAGATAACACCACTGTGGAGAATCTGAGAGCTGTGTGTCTGGATCATGCTAAGCTTGGCGAGAACAGTCTGAGTCCTTCACTGGACTCTCGTTTCTTCGGCCCTTCACCTTCACAAGTGCTCTACCTTATTGAGGTATGGCTTAGTCTGCTTTTTTATACAATATAATTGTTGCTGAACTTTCTTTTACCATTCATTACTTTTCATACCAACTAGAAAATTATGTATTTTTATGGTATTTGCTGATACATGAACAGTAGTGATAATAAGTAAATATAAATGTCTTACATCATGAAACAGGAATTTTGGTCTTGTTAGAAGTGTTGCAGTAATCTTGAAGCTGTTCTTTGTTCATCTTGCAGGTTGTGTATGCTTTGCTGATGCCAGCCAGTGCCACTCTGGGCGAGGATGCCAGTGATTTTCAGTACAACTTCCTAAAGAGCGGTGGTCTGCCCTTGGTTTTGAGCATGCTCACTAGGAACAACTTTCTTCCTTCAGCAGACATGGAAACACGCCGAGGGGCTTACCTCAATGCTCTGAAGATTGCTAAGCTCCTTCTGACTGCAGTTGGTTTCGGGCATGTAAAAGCTGTGGCTGAGGCTTGTCAGCCCAACACTGAGGGGAATATTCCCGTCTCTCCAGTTAGTCTTTACACAACTTGTGCAAATAGACAAACCTGAATAGCTGGTTCCTCAGAATGTAACCTGCCACAGAATTAACCCGTCTGTCTTTGTCTTAACTGTGCACAGATAAACCAGGCAACTCATGACCAGGCGCTGGTTCTTCAGAACGCCCTGCAGAACATTCCCAACCCTGCCTCTGAGTGCATGCTACGTAATGTAGCTATTCGCCTGGCTCAGCAGATTTCTGATGAGGTAACTTTTACAGGATTTGAATACCTTGAACTTGCACTGGAAAAAAATTAAGAATAGTTTTTAATGGCCTGTATATGCTGACAATGGGGGGGGGGGGGGAGACGTAGAAAAATACTTAAAAATAAAAGGTTGGTTTTTTTGTAGTTTGTGAAAAGTGACATGCAAAAACCATAATGATAATGTGGAACTGTATTTTTTCATTAGAATTTCTTCCAGGCGTCAAAGTACATCCCAGACATTTGTGTGATCCGAGCAGTGCAGAAAATTGTGTGGGCATCAGGCTGTGGTACCGTGCAGCTTGTGTTCAGTTCCAATGAGGAAATCAGCAAGATCTACGAGAAGGTAAACCATTTTACCGTTTCTGTGCTGAACAGCTGGAATGGTGGCTGTCAAATTTGTGCATGAGTGGAAAAAAATAGCCAAACCTTGATTATTAAAAAATGAAAGCATTAAAAAGACAAAAAATATCAGCAGTATTGATGTTGAAAACAGGAAAATGTTCACATTTTAATTAAATTTGCAGACAAATGCAGCCAAGGAGCCAGATGGTGAGGATGAGCAGGTATGCTGCGAGGCCTTGGAAGTGATGACTCTGTGTTTTGCCCTCATGCCCACGGCGCTTGACACGCTCAGTAAGGAGAAGGCTTGGCAGACCTTTATCATAGACTTGCTGCTACACTGCCACAGCAAGTAAGCACACCAGTTTGGTTTCTAGCTTTCTGCTGAAACAGATATAGCTAAATGAAGGATCACTTGTAATCTTTTATAATCCTGACACAATATCATCTTGATGGTGAAATCTCTCTCACAGATCCGTGCGTCAGATGGCCCAGGAGCAGTTTTTCCTCATGGCAACAAGGTGCTGTATGGGACATCGACCCCTACTGTTTTTTATCACCCTCCTTTTCACAGTGCTCGGGGTGAGTTGCTAAAAATTACATTTCACAGCCTGCATTTGTCTAACCTCAGCTGAAAGAGTACACACAGTCCTAAATGTATTTGTTTTTCAGAGCACAGCCAAAGAGCGAGCCAAACATGCTGGGGACTACTTCACTCTGCTCCGACATCTACTGAACTATGCGTACAACAGTAACATCAATGTGCCGAACGCTGAGGTGCTGCTCAACAATGAGATTGACTGGCTGAAACGAATACGGGTATAACACATTTTACCCTTTTTTTTTTTTCAGTTTTCTTTTTTTTTTTTTTTCAGTCCATAATTTATAATAAGTAAGTTGTAATGTCATTATTCAAAAGCTTCAGTTATTCAAATTGATGCAGAAGTGTTGGAACATATTTTTTGTCATTCCTTAGGATGAGGTTAAGAGAATTGGAGAAACTGGTGTGGAGGAAACCATCCTGGAAGGTCACCTTGGGGTCACCAAAGAGCTTCTAGCCTTCCAGACACCAGAAAAGAAATATTACATCGGCTCTGAAAAGGGAGGAGCGAACCTTATTAAGGTATATCAAGCAGGCACTTCCTGCATAATATAAACAGAAAATTGGAAAAACGTTTACCGTATTTTCCGCCCTATATGTCGCATCAGTCCAAATATGTCTAAAAAAATTGGAAAAATCCATAAAAATGTCGCTTCACCGTATACGTCGCATCTATTATGCGTCACCGCTGACGCTTCACATTTGTTACGCGTCACGACAACCAGGAAATGTGGGCCAGTGTGCCAAAAATCAATAGGGCTGCCAAATGGCAGCCGTGGGAGCATGTACAGGGGGACTTTAACAAGAATTTAACAAGATTAACACTTAAAAACAATTATTTGACTGCTCGAAATTATAGTAAATGTGTGTCTCAGTTGAACTATTCCTTTAAAAAATGCACTTTAATGGTCAAATCAGCTGAAATTCAAAAATACTTTCTCTGCCTCGGTGCTCCGGGAGCGCGTAGAGGGAGGGGGAAAAAAAAAAAAAAAACAGTGCTCGTTTCTTTGAATTTTAACAAGAAAAGCAGCTAAAACAATTATTTGTTTGCTCGAAATTATAGCAAAGGTGAACCAAAAAAGTCCATGCTCAATAATCCAGGTATACAATCCAACAATTTTCAGTCAGGTCATCTGGACGGTTTCTTTTTTTGCTGAAACGTTTCACCTTCCATCCGGAAGGCTTCATCAGTCAAGGAAACACACAACACAAAACTGATTCTTCCCAACAAGAGCTTACTCAAAAGTGGAACAAACCAGTTATGTTTGGTGTCTTTGACACGCCCCCTCCTCCAATGCTTGCCCTCTTCCTCGTCGACAGTCATGTCAAACTTGTTGTGTGTTTCCTTGACTGATGAAGCCTTCCGGATGGAAGGTGAAACGTTTCAGCAAAAAAAGAAACTGTCCAGATGACCTGACTGAAAATTGTTGGATTGTATACCTGGATTATTGAGCATGGACTTTTTTGGTTTTGAACCAGTTTGACATGACTGTCGACGAGGAAGAGGGCCGGCATCGGAGGAGGGGGCGTGCCAAAGAATGCACTTTTTTTTCAGTCAGAATGCGGTCATATCTCAGCCAAAAATTGGTTTATATATATGGAACAAAATCCATAAATATGTCGCTTAGGCGTATATGCTGTATGCTGGCCTCCTTAGATAGAGAACTTTACTAATTGGCTTTTATGTATGTGAATGTTCCTGTAAAGTGCCCTGAGACAGCTTTGTTGTGATTTGGCGCTATATAAAGAAACTGAATTGAATTGAATTGAATTGAATAAGTCGCAGGGCTGTAAATTATGCAAAAAAACACCACTTATAGACCAAAAAATACGGTATGCTTCTGTGTGCTTTTTGTTTTTATTGCTTGTAATATTCCTGCCATCTGTCTTGTTTCTATTATTTTCATTAGGAGCTTATTGATGACTTCATCTTCCCAGCATCAAATGTTTACCTGCAGTACATGAAAAGTGGAGAGTTCCCCACAGAGCAGGCCATTCCAGTGTGCAGCTCACCTGCATCCATCAACGCTGGCTTTGAGCTCCTGGTGGCGCTGGCTGTGGGATGTGTTCGCAACCTCAAACAGATCGTTGACACTTTGACTGACATGTACTACCTGGGTATGGAGACATTTCTGTCTGTTTCTCACATTCACCCAACTATCACTGGATTAACCCCCCCCCCCTGTTTTGTTTTGCCTCTCCATCCAGGCTGTGAGACATTAACAGAGTGGGAGTATTTGCCTCCAGTGGGGCCACGACCCAACAAAGGTTTTGTAGGTCTGAAGAATGCCGGTGCTACCTGTTATATGAACTCTGTCATTCAGCAGCTCTACATGATCCCTCCCATTCGCAACGGCATTTTAGCTATTGAGGGGACGGGCACCGACGTGGATGATGATATGTCGGGGGATGAGAAGCAGGAAAATGAGGTACTAGCGGAGATTATGTTTTGAAGTCTTTATCTTATGAAGATTATCCTTTCACAGCATAGTGAATTAAAAATAATGGCAACTTAAAGCTTGAAGGCTGATATTTGCAGATGTACTATTATCAGAAGTAATAAATTGTTTTTCTATCCTGGTTATCTGATTATCGTTTGGGCATCTGTCTCTCTGTTAAGACAGGAACAGCTTAAAATGTTTCTTTTAAAAGGCACTTTGTTTGTGGAAACAAATATTTTTGTCATTACAGACTAATGTAGATCCCCGTGATGAAGTTTTTAGCTACCACCACCAGTTTGATGATAAACCCTCAAGTAAGTCTGAGGACAGGAAGGAGTACAACATTGGTGTGCTGCGTCACCTACAAGTCATCTTTGGCCACCTGGCTGCATCCAGGCTGCAGTACTATGTCCCAAGAGGATTCTGGAAGCAATTCAGGTATTTTGAAGGCTTTTCTTGAGTCTACATTTAACTCCTTGAACAGTTACTGATGTCCCAGTACCTCCCATTAACCATGTCATTTTTAGGTTATGGGGTGAGCCAGTAAATCTGAGGGAACAGCACGATGCTTTGGAATTTTTCAACTCGCTGGTGGACAGTTTGGATGAAGCTCTCAAAGCTCTGGGTCACCCTCCCATGCTCAGCAAAGTGCTAGGAGGGTCCTTCGCAGACCAAAAGATTTGTCAAGGATGCCCCCATAGGTGATCAGTTGTTTCTTTGTGCTTGATTTCTAAACATAGTTAGTGAATAGGCCTGTCGTGATAAACAATAAATCAGTTAATCGCATGATAAATGAAAATTAGCGACCTCGTTTTCATTTATCGGCTTTATCGTTTCTTTGTGTCTCTCTTTCTACTGAAAACACTGGATAACAAAAGGTTCAGCTCCGGTGCTCTTCACTGACCCCTCCCTTTCTTTTTTCTCTTTAAAATCTGTTTTAACCGTCCAAAATTGCATTTTTGGATCGTTAAAAACAGCTAAGCTGAGAAGCTAAGCTACAAGCTAAGCTAACAGGCCAACCTCAGGAAAAAACCTCCGTCTTGTCGAAGCTCCAAAATTCACGGTTGAAACCCGTGCCTTGATGTAAAAAGATTTTCTCTGCAAAAAGAAGCTGATAACTTGTTTACTGATTTTTTTCATTAAAAAGCTTTGTGTGACAAATGCTATGCTAAAGAGCTCAAACCACACCGAGCATCTGTCATTTTGAGAATTGAAAAGAAGGAGATGGGCGTGGACAGGGAGGGACAGTCCAGGTCATGTCAAGGTTCCTCCCTCCCATTTTTCTTAAGACACGCTGCTCGCTCCCTCACTATCCATCCTTCGGTTCATACAGTCTTATACTGCCATCTGGTGGTTAAAAAAGGTACTACACACAACAAAATTAACCAACATTTCTTCTTAAATTTGACATAATCACTAATTATTGTCAAATTTCAAACAATTTTATCGTTTATCGCAATGATTTCTGAGACAATTAATCGCCCAGCAAAATTTGTTATCATGACAGGTCTGTTAGTGAACACATTGGAACTTTATATTTAGATGTAGATGACTTGTAATGACTGTGTTTTTTCAGGTACGAGTGTGAGGAATCATTCACAACACTCAACGTAGACATCAGGAACCACCAAAACTTGTTGGACTCTATGGAGCAATATGTTAAAGGAGATCTTCTAGAAGGAGCAAATGCTTACCATTGTGAGAAGTGTAACAAGAAGGTAAGGCTTTACAGGCTCTTTTACTCTGCAAGGCCTGTATGTTCTCATTATAAAAATTGCATGACAAAAGTTTTTGTTCTCCCACCGCCTTAGAAAACCTGCTCTGTGCACAAGCTGCTTGCAGAGCTTTTTTTGCGCAGTCACCCAACAAATATATTATTTCATCAATTGAAATTATTAAAATGTTATGATTTGGTTGAATATAGTATTTTACAAGTCATGTATAAAGCTCATAAAAATATTAGCCCCAAATATTCAATTAAAATTTGTAAAAAATAAATATAAAAAAAGGAGAGACAATATAATCTTAAGGGATTGTAAATGTTTGTAAAACCTCCATTTAGAACTAGTCTGAAGGAGCTGCGTTGTAATTCAGGGAATAGGATTATGGAATTGCCTTGATATCACCATAAAAATTTCTAAAACAATTTATATATTTAAAAAGATGATAGTTAACGTTGTTGGGAAGGTATAGTACCAGGTGAAGGATACCTGAAGTTTTTTTTGTTTTAGTTTGGAGATTGTTCAAGTCAAGGTTGTTGTTTGTTTGTAGTTATTTTGTATTTTTTAAATAAGGGGCAAAAGAATGTTTTCTTCTTTCTGTAACCTTTTCATTCAATCTAAAAAAGTTAAATCTGGTCCTCTGGACATTCAAAAAAACAAAACAAAGCAAAACAACAAAAAAATGTAGAAACGTTTCGTCTCTCAACCGAGAGACTTCCTCAGTCTGAGGTGCTGTATTCAGCTCAGTCTCTT